AATGCGCCCAAGACGGGGCTGCGGCGTTTGCAGGTAGCAGGGCCGCGTTCACGATCGTCGAGGAAGCGGCTGGAGCGTGTTTTCAGTGCTTGAGGCAACGAATCAAGGATTATGATGAGCGGTGAACAGTCTCAGGGATTCGCTGATGGTTCGGAAGAGCACAAGCGCGATGACATGGAAGATCTGCAGCATGCTCGCCCTGCTCCGGCTATCTGACGCCAGAAGCGTCGCTACCGAAGCCTTGCGAACGGCTGACTTCATTAAGGCGGTGCAGGTGGTGATGTGTTCACGCCAACGTCGACAACGTTCAAGACGGGCTCCACCTGTGCAATTCCTGCGTTCATGTGTCCGGTCAAGAACCCCACTGTGGGCGGCGATCTAGCAGCGTCGCAGCATGCGCAGGAGGAGCGGTGAACTGCGGTGAACTGCCGGCGGCCGTGGGCGTGACGTCTAGCGCGCGCCATGGCATTAACACGAGCAGCACGATTAGCACGATGGACACGATGTTGGCAGGCTGGTGTTTATGCGACGATGTTGTGCGCGCACGTGAGGGGCGGTGCTGCTGTGTTGTCTTCGTGTTCGCGAGCCACGTTGTGTTTTGCTACGAGGAGGCGCCGCCCTGCCATGTCATCGGCGTGGCAGATTGCATCACGGGACCCGGGCGCGCGATGATGCGCATGAGGCGGTGAGGAGAGGCCGAACTGGATGGATGTTTTGAATGAGGTTGGATATAGCAGGCCCTTGGGCCAGTGGGAGCCGACATGCAGGTGCATTAGCCATGAACCATCCCCGTGCGCTGGCCAGCGCTAGGGCAAAGGGCCTTTCCTCGGCGGCGCCCACGGCCTGCTGAGTGATTGAAGGATCAAAAGACTCCCCACAGACCAGACGAGCACACAATCTCACCGCGCCGACGGCATGCGAACTGCACTTCCGCAGCCCTGGTCAGTCTGGTCAGTCTGGTCGAGTCTGCCTCTATCGCCTCTATCTGCCGCATCGGGGGGTGCTTTGTCTCTTGCAGCTGTCTTGCAGGTGCCACAGCCTCTACATGAATCTATAAGGCGCAGCACTCTATATTTACAGACGCGTGCATTGCATACATCGCATACAAGAGCGGTGAAGGCCCCAGTTGGAGTTAGTTGGAGGTATTGGAGGCATTGGAGGAAATGACTTGTCTCGTTGACGCTGGCTGCTATGATGGGGTGCTGGCAGGCGCCCGCAGACAGCCGTCGAGTACCGACATCTGCATCTGATCAAGTGCAATCACGACGTCTTGGCTGACGAGCGCATGGTTTTGCATTAGTTGGATGAGGCAGCTCGACCCGGAGCAGGCCTTCCCTCGACGAAGATCATCAGAAATAACCGCCCACGCGCGAACGATGCCAGCGCACGGCGTGGGTAGATACTGTCCCACGCATCTTGCAATGTGAGAGCGCGTGGGGTGCGTGGGTGTTGCCGTTCGTCGCGGTTCGCCGTGTCCTGAGACATTCACTGTGGTTGACAACCACGGCCTTGGCATCGCTTAGGATACTCGATGCGGCCCTGCGCAACCCTCTCCAATGCTTTTCTTCGGCCCTACACCACTCGTAACCATCCCGCATACGGAGCGGGTCACCTGTCAACCGTACACCATCACCACCACCAACAGCGCAGAGTCCTTCTATATACATACATTACCCCTCTAGTGCACCTCGGCTCTGCCCCTCGCTCGCCATGTCACTCCAGAGCGCGGCAGACGTGCCGCTTCTCATTAGCTCTCCCAATTCGTCGTCTGAGCGCCGTATATCGCCGTCGTGGTCCATTGCGCAGCTCAAGGCCCGCCTGGAGCCCATCACCGGTGTGCCCGCCAGCAGTCAACAGCTGTCGCTGCGCGTGGGCTCTCAGGATGCCGTCGCCCTCACGGCCGCCGACGAGGAACAGACGCGTCTTGCTGCCTTCCCGCTGCAGCCGTATGCGGAGATAACCGTAAGTGCTTCTTCTGCTTTCTCATTGCACGCGCGCCGCAGCCCTGTCCTGGCTGTGTCGACGCTGCCGTCCTCTCGCGAGCTGCCACATCTCTGCCACCCCGGCTCGCCTCTCTACTTCCTTGTATCTACTCTACACCCACGCCTAGCAGTTTCATGCGTCGCTCTGCTCGACTGCCCCATTCGTTGTCAGGTCCGACGTTGAGGCTGCGCGCTCCAGTCAGGTCATGCCTGCATATTCGCATGCCCCGCACTGCCCCTCTCTTCCCAATTGCTGCGCCTTGGCACGCGATCCGCGCGGAAGCCATCCTTCGTTTCATCTGAGTTACCAGATCGTCTGCAAGCGTTGGGCATGCCGGGACGCTGCTGGTACTCGGCATTCGATACCGACGACATAAACTTTCGCAATACCGGATAGCCTTTCGCTGCTGTCTTGCCATTTCTTTTTCGGCGCTTCGGCCCTACTCCAATGCCTTACATGGCCTCATGAATCACCCCTTGTACCGGCCACCTTGCTAGAGCAATCTCAACTGACATCCCCGAGCAAATGAATGCCCGCAAACATGCTCCCGAGCTGACAGCCACGTCTAGGTCGTTGACACTCGTCCGCCGGGTGCGAGGACGGACTTCACCGACCTGTCGTCCGTTGAGAAGTATGAAATGCCCGCTGCTGAGTACGAGCATCGGACCGACAGCGTACTTGCATGGAAGAAGGCGCAAAAGCTGGGTCGGTTTGACCCCGATGCTGGCAGCATCGAGCAGCAAAAGATCCGCGCCTCAGAACGGGAGGTAGAGGAACGAGGTAAGCCGTATATCTCCCGCATGTTTCACCCACACCGTTGAGCCGTACGTTTGCGCGGCAGAGCGAACGCCGGAACCCGGACATCAACCATCGCATTGCAGCCTTGTAGTCATCCATGTCGTTCCAACGTGCAAACCGGAGATGCTTCAAACTCTTCCCAAACCGGACTGCTGCATGCCTCCAAGGTTGCCGCCTCATCATAACAGGATTCACTATGTCTCAGCCTGTCATTACCCTCCGACAAGGACATCTGAGCGACAGGCAAGGCAATCTCGCATACCGAGTATCCTCTGACCAAACCCGTCATACACGACTACCCTTTCCGGCCCCCTGCATCCAACCCTTGGCCCAGACCTCCACAGCCGAGCGTATGGCGCTGGAAGCACATCCGTTAGGCAACATGCCATAGTAAACCGATTAACACTCGGAAATCGCTTCGAGTGTTGCCGTCCTCCAACGACTGTCGTCGCTCCGCTAGGTTACCCGTTTCTGGCAGGGACCGGGCAGCGGCAAAGGGTGCAAGTCGCCGAAACCCTAAACTCAATTCTCAAAATAAGCGATCGACGCCTTCCTTGCCACCCAGCCTCATTATTCTCTTCATTCTCCAGCTTCATTCGTCGACCAAGTCTCTCGGTAATACACTTCGACTACGACATGGTCCATTTCCTGAAATCTCCCTCTTCCTGCTCGCCCGAGCGAGATCGTCAGGGTGGTTTAGGGCACCAGATCCTCGGATGGCGCGGCCCGCATTTTTCCTTGCTTTCCAAAACACATCAGCACGTTACGCATCGTTTACTCCGCTGAATGCCATTATCCCCGAAGGATGTGTTGGAGATTTGTGTTGATGGATCCAACGCCGCACCACGCCTCGATATTCGCGCATCACTGCCTCGCTATAGCATTGCATTGGGCAGCGCCTGCATCTGTCTCGAACAATCAGGCCGCCTTCCCCGCTTGAGCCTCGCTGTCGCCACCACATCTCGAGTAAGATGTGATCGGTGTGCATGAGGGACCGATTAGGCGTGCAATGATCTTGGGTTTCCGCGCATACGCGATGCTAGTTGCCAAACTGCCCGCCCGGCCGTCGGGACGTTGTTGTCCACTTACCTGTTCCGTTCCGCCTGGGCATAGGTTTGCTTCTTTTGCTCGCTTTCGCGTATACCTCCTGTCTTTGCCCAAACCATGGACGGATACGAGGGTTCGATAGGTTGGGCTCCACTGAACAGCAAACGGAGCTGATCTCGTACGATTATCCTGGCTGCATTCATACTTACACTTTGGTCTCCTTTACCGCATGTATACTTGCGAAGCGAATCGATTCAACTAACGCAAAACCCTTATTAGGTCTTTCTGTAAACGGTCGTGTTCGCCTCCTACCCGAGTCAGATGCGCGTCGGGGAACCATCTCCTATATTGGCCTTGTCCCTGAGATACCGGGTATAGGCGTCTGGATCGGCGTCACCCTCGACGAACCGACAGGCAAGAACGATGGCAGCGTCAAGGGCAAGCGATACTTTGAGTGCGCCAGCAATTACGGCGTCTTTGTAAGACCTGAACGCTGCGAGGCCGGCGATTTCCCCGCCCTTGACATGGGGGATGAGGATCTCGAGGAGCTGTGATCGGAACTCCGAAAGGGGGGATGACAGGATAAGTATATCGGAGAACTGCGGTGATCGCGAGGGGAAATCAGGGCGAGCTGCCACGTGGCAGCTTGGGTGGTAGACGAATTTGACTTCAACCTACACGTGTAACTTTGAGCTGACTACACATTCTCCACTGTCACAACAGTAGCTGTCCGCTCCGTCCATGCTTCTCTCTTCGAGGAAGAAGGACTATAGTCAATAGTCAACAAGAAAAATCGCCTGAATGACCATGACGAAAAGTCTAATAACTCGATCTCTATGTTTCATTGTGATATGACAACTGACTGATATGACGTTCTCTCTTGTGCAAGTGTAGTTTGTCAGGCACCTGTTCATTTCCTAGTATGTTTTCACATGTGGGAAATCAAACTCCTTCCTTCTCAAAGACCTGTAACCGAGATTTTACCCCCACAATCCAAATCCGGCGTCTTTCTCGCTGGGAACGTTGCTTCCCACAAGCGAGCAACGTCTAGCAGGAGGCCTTCTTGATACTTCGCGCCAACAACAAGCAACCCAAACGGCCGTCCATTCCAATCCAGATAACCCAGCGGTAGAGTCACCGATGGATATCCTGTGCACGTAGTGAGAAGAAGCTTAGTTGACAGACAAAGCACAGAGCTTACTAGCTAAAGCAACAACATCAGGTAGACGGCTATCTGCTGGCCCTATTATCACGTCGACACCATGCTCGCGAAGCATCTTATCGATCGCATCATCAGCGGCGGACACGGTCGCCTTTACATCAAGACGGTCATACTCTGCATCCGTGAGCGAGTTGGCATCTTCCAAACTTTGGATAAGCTTGTCTTGCTTAGGAGAACCTAATGATAACTGAGTTTAGTAATGGACAGAAGATGAGAATGGTATTGACAGGCTGTCATACAGTCTGGTAATTCGATCTCGCGATGTTGTTTGTTGAAATTGATTAGTCCTGCGAGGGTCTTGACTTTGGGTGAGTTTAGGCCACCTGTGTAGGCTTCGAAGAGGGTTGAGAAATCGTTTTCTGGGGTGTGTCAGTGTGGATTTTGCACCTTGGTGTTCTTGAACTGACTGATTGTGGTTAAGACGTCGTCCATGCTTTCATCTAATGTCTCGTCTGAGATCAGGTCGACTGGGCCGACGACGCGCTTAGCGAGGCTTGCGATCTTTTTGTAGGCTGCGAGTGTCTCTCGTATCTTCCCACTGAGTAAGCTATGGTTCTATCTCATTGCAAGTGTACTTACGATTTGGTCCAGTGCTCCAGGTTGCGGCTTCTGAACGGCTTCTGGTAGATGCCAGTGGTGTGGGTCTATGGTGGCGAAAGAGATATCTTTCCAGTCGCGAGAAAAGGAGGTATTATAACCTTGGTCGGGCACTTCCGGATGTGAAAGATCTACGATGACATTGAGTAACTTGACGAGATCATCGGTGGTCTTCGCCATAGGCCCAACACTATCCCTGTTTTTCGAGAAAGGGAATCCTCTGTGTTCAGAAACTATACCGGGCGTAGTGCGGATAGTAAAAAGGGCAGCACGAGTAGCTGGATTCGTGAGAGAACCGTTGAAGTCAGCGCCGATGGAGAGGGGGGCGAAGCCTGCGCTGATGGCTACGGCTGAGCCTGTTGATGAGCCGGATGGGTTCTGTAGGGTCGTGAGCATTAAGATCAGTGTTATAAGGAGAGAGGCCTTACTGAATGGCCGTAGATGCCGTCGTCGACTACACCGCCGCGCACGTATGCGGATTGCGTTTGGCCTCCACGTGCAGACCAGCCTCCGCTCATGCCGGACGCCCTGGAGAGGTCAGTTTACAGCGTTCCGCGTCTCCGTATCTTGACTCACTTCCAGTTTCCGTATTGCTGTCGGAGTGGGTTAGTTCAGGACCTCGAGAAGACGAGCCAGAACGTACGGAGAGGTTCGCCTTACCCATCAGGATAAGTCCAGCATCCACTGCCATCCTAACGACCGTGGCGGTTTCTCGAGGCTGGGAGCCCACAAACGCCCAACCACCATTCGTGGATTCGAGCTGGAACTCGCTTGACGTATCCATGGCATCCTTACAATTCAGTCAACAATTTCAAGATGACTTTACCATAAGCCCACCTTGACAACAAACGGAATACCATGCATCCCACCCCTCACAACCCCCCGACGTCTCTCATCATCCAGCTTAGCCGCAATCTTCTCCAAATGTGGAAGCGGCGATATCGATATCATGGCCTTAAGTCTGTCGTTGTGTTTGAGGATCTGGTCGTGGTATTGGCGTACGAGATCAAGACTGGTGATCTTACCGTCGCTAAGGAGGCGCTGTAGCTCACTCGCTGTAATCTTCGGCAGGTCAAGTTTCATGTTGGGTATGATTCGGACAACGTAAAGCGCAAGAGATTCTTTGAAAGATGGTAGTGGAAGTCGGGCGAGGAGCGTAGACTGAGAAAGTGCACCGGTGATGTTATCGGTGGAAGAGCGACTATTACCTGGATTGTAGACGTGTGTTCGCAATGCAAAGGGCCGCCCTTACTCTACCCCCACGGAAGCTACGTCCAGCTGGCTCAGCCAGCGCTTAACAAGAGCGGTATCATGGAAAAAGACGGTCTCATGAAAATCACGAACATTGTCGGAATAACGTCAGCTCATACATTTACGTGACGATCATATCTTGAACCTGTATCTCAGCTCACTATGCAAATCCCATCACATCTTCCCACTCAGTCACGCATACCCATTCGCCCCCAACCACTCCCTAACAACCCCCGCATCCCTCTCCGCATAAGCCGCATAACTCCTAATAGTATCATCCACAACCTCAAGCCCCTTATTATACCCCCTCGTATCCTTACCCTTGAAGAACTCCTGAATCTCATCCGCCACCTTACTATCCGTAAACTTATTCAATCCAAACCTGAGGAACCTCTCCAGGACAACAGGATTACCAGCAAGCGCAGGATGCACCTTGGAGTCCCAGTTATCGCGAATGTAGTGCCAGACCTCCGGGCGGACCTTTGAGTTGTTGGCGAGGGCAATGGTGGAGCTGTGCTTGTCTTGCATGGCGACGGCGTCGGAGAAGACAAAGTCCATGACTTGCTTTGCGAGGTCCGGGGTTTGGACGCGGCCGAGGGAGCCGAGGCAGATTTCTTTGCCGTCGATGGACGTGGTGTGAAGGTATTCGTTTTGCACGGCCTTGAGTGCTGGTTCGCCGCGGTTCTTGATGGCAGTGGCGAAGACGGCGCGGCGGAGCGAGGGGTGGATGGCCTTGTTGTCTCCATTGATGTAGGCGTCGAAACGCTTGAGGGCCTCGTCGACGGTGGCTTTGTGGCCGACGATGCCGGCGGAGAGGATGAGGCTGGCACGAAGTTGGCCGACGAGGTAGTTCTCGCCATCCTTGAACTCCCAGCCGACCTTTTCGACTGCTGGGGTGATGAGCTTGAGGTGGTACTTCCTCAGTCCCTCGCTGATGTCTTCGCTGCCGGAGAAGACACTGCGGACGTTGCCAATGTTGGTCAGAATCTGAGACCATACAAGGTAGTCAGACTCGTCCTGGAAGCGCTCTGCCAGTGCGAGGAGACCAGCGGTGGAGCCGTAACCTGCTACTGCGTTGGCGTAGGCGTCACCTACGAGGCCAATCTTGTCTTGCACGGTGAGCTGATCGCGGTCCTCTCCGAGCTTCTTCAAGCGGTCCGCAGGGTAGTTGGTGCGGTAGAAACCAGTGAGGTCCTTGTTGAGCAGGTAGAAGCTGTCGCTGACGTTGCGGATTGTGTCTTCCTTCTGTGTCATAGCAGTGGTCTCGTGCACAGACGCGCTGGAAGCTGAGTCGCCAGAGTGAAGGCCAAGCGGAATCCACCAGGTAGTTTGGTCCTCTTCGGGCTTGACGTTACCCGCAAGGAGGAAGCGCTGTTGACGCAGTCCAATCTGACCAGGCTCTTCAGCTACGGTGACGACTGGGAAACCGATCCTGCGAACCCAGAGGTCCATGAAGGTGTTGACGTTTTGACCAGATGCCTTGCTAAGGGCAGACCACAGGTCGTTGGTAGTGGCGTTGGAGTACTGGTGGGCCTTGAGATAGTCGGCAACACCCTGCAGGAAGACCTTCTCGCCAAGGTGAGCGCTCAGCATGCGGATGACTGAGGAACCCTTGAGGTAGGAGATGTGGTCAAAGATCTGGTCGACCTCAAGACCGTCGTATACGGGTACTTCGATAGGATGCGATGTTCGTAGCGCGTCAAGGGCGAAAGCTTGTTGGACGGATTCAGTCTAGAGAAAATGTCAACAGGCTGATAGTAGATACCTCGAGATTTGTGACGTACGACAAACTGTCCCCAGACGTTCCATTCTAGTGAGGGTTAGCAGGTTTCTGCCGTAGTAGTGATTTGACGTACCTGGGTATAAATGATCAATGGCAAGCCATCCGACCCATGTCGCGAAACCTTCGTTGAGCCAAAGCTCGCTCCACCAGTCCATGGTGACAAGGTTACCGAACCACTGATGGGCAAGTTCGTGAGCAACAACGTAGGCGACCCTGTTGCGGTAGCTGTCGGCCGATGTAGCGGGATCGAAGAGTACGGCAGTAGTTCTAGTTACGTTAACATAAAGTCCAACTTGTTCAAGCACTTGACGTACCTGTAGGTAATGAGACCCCAGTTCTCCATAGCTCCGTGTGAGAATTCGTGAACAGCCAGTAGATCGACCTTGGGAAGAGGATAGTCAATCTGGAAGACCTCGGAGAAGTAGTCGACAATCTTGTGGCAGTTGTCCAGAGCGAAACGACCCTGCTCCTTGAGACCGCGGGTGGTGTAGACCCTGACGGGAATGTTCTTTCCGTTGTACTTGCGCTCGGTGAAAGCCTCGACGTACTCAAAGTCACCGATAGCCCACGCCAGCAGGTATGTAGACATGATAGGCGATCGCTCGAATACGACAGTGTGGAAGCCGTCCCGCTTGCTGGGCTTGATCTCCTTCTCGGGCATGTTGCTGAGGGCGACCTGGTCCTTGGGCACTTCGAGCTCGACGTCGAAGGTGGCTTTCAGGTTGGGCTCGTCGAAGCAGGGGAAGGCGCGGCGGGCGTCGCAGGCCTCGAACTGGGTGCTGAACATGTAGTGGAACTCATCGTCTTTTGCGACGGAAGCGGGGACGTCGCCCTTGGGCTTGTACTTGGAGCGGTAGAAGCCAGCCATGATGTTGTTGACGAAACCCTCAAACTTGATCTCCAGCTGAGCCTCGCCAGAGTAGCTAATCTTCTCGCCGAAGTCGAGTGTGACCTGTTGCCTCTTCTCATCGTATGAGATGTCCTTTGCCGACAGTGTCTTGTCGCCAGCCTTCAACTCGGCGGTTTGCAGCTTCAGCTGATGTGCGTTGAGGACGAGGGTGTTGAAGCCATCTTCCTTTGTGATCTTGGTGGTGATGTTGACGGTACCCTTGTAGGCAAACTTGCCGCCAAATTCGAGGTCGTGGAGGGAGAGGGCGTAGTGCGAAGGTTTGGCCCTGGGATGTTAGCTTGGTTATAGTACTGGAGAGAGATCAACTAACCATGCGGGGAGGACATCGCGATCTGAAGCCATGTTGACGAAACTGCTGGTGACTTCGCTCTGGCAGAACCTCTTTTGTGCTGCAAACGTGTTTGTGTTTGCTACGGCAAGCCTCGGTCTTGGGCGTAACTGGGTACGTGGGGCAGACTGAAGCTGTCTAGCTGCCGAAGAGAAGCTTCTAGAGCGGATGTGGTGGGTCAAGGAGAGTGAATGCGATGTAGCAGGATACAGGCGCGTAGGATGAGCTCTACACGTTAATTGTCGAGAGCAGAGTCTCGCGGAAGTCAGTAGAGTAGCCAGAGTGAAGGACCGCGGGGGAGACGGCCAGGGAGCTTGAGCGGAAGAGGAAAGAGGGGAGCGCAATCATGCAAGCAATTGGTATTGGAGGCTTCAGGACGCATGCCAAGAAAATTGTTTAGCTCCACCAGCTCCCCCATGCCACTTCGAGGGTCCATTCGTGATAACCATCACCACCAAGACCTGAGTCAAAGACGTACTCTCTGTTTTCTTCCACCTCCACCCCTCCTCCTCCCCGCCGCCTCCCCTCCGCCTCCCCCACCCACCCGGAATCAAGCTCTCTAGCTGCAGAAGAGAAGCTTCTAGAGCGGCTAAGGTGGATCGAGGTGAGTGAATGCGATACAGCAGAATACAGACGCGTAGGATGATTAGCTCTACACCTCAATTGTCGAGAGCAGAGTCTCGCGGAAACCAGTAGGGTAGCCAGAGTGAAGGTCCGCGGGGGAGGCGGCCTGGGAACGTGAACGGAACAGGCTTGAGCAAAAGAGGAAAGAGGGGTGTCAATGTTTCAATTGGACTGGCATGAGATGATGCGTATAGGCTTAGAGGGGAAGGTGCGCGTGCGGCACGCCGAAGCGCCCCACCTAGGCTGAATCCCTGCGTTCGGCTCTAGCGCGGGGTCTTGGGTGCATTTATCTAGATGCAGATGCGATGATGCTTGGAAGTTGAGATAGTTCTTATCCTCTTATATCTGATGGGTTGCTGTGATGGGCTGTAGCGCGTCGTCTCTCCAATGTCCTCTACCTTCTTCATATGCTTGTAGCACATCTATCACGCATGGACCGGTGGGTATCAATCCTGAAAGTGGTATGCCATTGACGCCTGCAAATGCTTCAGTATACGCCCCAGCCATGCGATAGTATCCTTTCCACCACGCCTACCAGCCACAAACGCCTCGCACACCTCTACATAGCAGACCCGCACTCCCATCTCCCCAATCCACCCCCTCCATTCAAACCCTAATCAAAACATCCAAACATTGTATCCTCCACTCCTTCTTCCCCAACAACCCCTTAACCCACTCATAACTCTGCCCTCCAGCTTCACTCCCCTGCCCTAGTCCCACCCTCCCCCTAACCCCCTCCACCGCCCCCCTCACCACCGCCTGGGCCGTATGATTCGCCGCCTGCGCCAGCACACCCGCCGTCTCCGCAACCGTGCCATTCAGCGCCAGCTCCGCGCTATCGGACAGCGGCGCATCGAACCACGGGGTGTGGAAGTCGAAGAGGGCGACGACGAGGATGAAGAGGAGGAGCGAGCAGTACACGCACGGTCGGTTTAGGAAGTAGGTTGCTGAGATGAAGAGGACGAGGTAGACGGGGGAGGCGTGCGTTCGTAATCTGCGGGGGACGTGTTAGAGAGGGAATGCGCGTGGAGTGGGAGGTAGATGGGGTGGGTGGATGGGTGCTTACAAGAAGAACAGGACGGGGATCCAGCTGCGGAGGCAGAACATGGCGGGTTGGCGGGTTGTGGGTGTGACTATGGTTGTGTGTAGGTAGGGAGCCTCGCGTGCGCACGCTGCAGCCCTAATGGCCCTGACGTATGTTTGGTGTCGTGTGAGGCGCGCACTTTACGGCGATACCTAAGGCGGAGGCGATAATCGTCGACGGGCGGACGTGGATGCGCTGACTAATGCGATAAGTCGGCGAGGCGAATGGGCAACGTGAAAACAGCGAGCGGACGAAGAAATAGCAAATGGGTTTATTAGGATAACAAAGTATCAAAGGTAAGAGGGCTGACGGCTGTGAGATGCATGGATGGTGCGGAGTCCTGGCCGCCGAATTAGCGTCCGCTGATTGGCAGTGCGCCTCCAGGTAAGCATTCGGCTCCCCTTGAGGCCTCGAGGCTGCAGTCGGTGGCGCACATGCATGCACTGCTTTTCTCCTGTCTCAGCCTTATCGCTTGCATATTCGATAAAATCCTCTGACCATCTCACGTCTATTCATTTCAAGGTATCTTCCTACATGCCCATTCCCCCGTCGTGTGATGTCGTCCAACGCCCAACCAGCCAACTATCAGAGGCTACCTCCTTCCATAAAAATGCCACAAAACGCCCACCTAACACAAATATGCCCAGATACGAAGCAGAGTAGGACCGAAGTCGGCCGCCAACAGCAGAAGGGAGCAGCGTCCATGCGCGCGCGGTCTATACGGGCAGGTTGAACTTCTTGCCTTGGATGACCCTGAACATTCAATTAGCATGCTGATGCACCTCATGGTTATTGGAGACGTACTTGGTGTAGTAAATGTAGAAGAAATCAGAGTACAGGATCGTCTGGATGATGCCTGCAATCACCGCGATCGGGTCGTAGAACTTGGGCACCTCGAAGAAGTAGCGGTAGATCCAGTTGGGGATGTACAGCGCCCGGTACGCACCCAGCGCGAACAGGTAGTGTGTTGTGATCGTTTCCGCCTCGCCGGTTCTTTGCAGCATGAAGAGCTGGGGCAGAATTGCCACGGATTCCAGCCAAATGGAGAAAGCCCACAGTATCTATTTCAGTCAGCACCTTCCTCTCCCATTACAAGCCCTGCTGCTACCCACCTCAGAGAACGTGTATTTGTACGGAAACAGTATCGCCAGCACCGCGCTCGCTCCCAGCAGATATTGCACCTTGAACGTGTCGAGATTCGGGTCGTGCGTCGGCTTGTAGTCGTTGAGCATGAGGTAGACGGTGTAGGCGGATGTGCTGATGAAGATGATTTTGAAAATGGTATTGTAGAGCGACTTGGGTTCGTAGAAAGTCCACAGCAGGTCGACGTAACGCGTAAGATAGACCATCAGATAGAGGAATTGTGACTTGAACGAGATGCCGGACGCGCTCTATGCCGTGTCAGTATGTGCGGCGCATTACGTGTACAATGCAGGTAGACGTACGCTCGACACCTTCATCTTATGCAGCAGAATCAGGATGGATAGCAGGTGGGATAAATCCCCTAGACGTGTTAGCCCATCATACTCGAAGCATCATTTGGTGTCGCGAGGCTTACCCAGCAGTCGGAAGAGATTCATCATGGCGGTGCGTGGGTCGCTGGTCGCGGCGAAAGGAGCGGCAGAGGTTTGACGACGTGAGGCGTGGTGGGAGGTGGGTGTTGAGTGCCTGACATAAAAGACACGTTCCGCCAGCTGCTTCACGTAGGGATGGAGCTGTGGAGCCTTGCACGCCAAGACATGCCCCTGCCGCCAACGTCATCCCGATCGCCGCTACTTCCCGCAGCAGTTCGCACCACTGTCGCCATACACTCACCACTTTCACCACCAGTCGGATATGGCTTCTCTTCTTGGGTGGAAAGACATCCTCAGGCCGATCCGCGATGGTTACCGCCATCTGTTTCCCACCCCGGACACGGGACCTACACCGGAAGAGAGACGCCATCAGCGCGCATTAGATCGACTGAAGGGCTTCGCCTACTTCGATACCTTTGATCAATTGGAATCGTGGACCGACGCTGACTCTGACCCTCTGAAAAGAGCCAATACGCCGTTGTTACGAGCGACTGGTGGAGTTCCAACCGACGACCGCAAAACTGGTGTTCTATTGATCCATGACTATTCTGGCAACTACCACGACTATGAAAGCGTGCAGGCCGTCGGTGTAGACAAGGAACTCTACTCGTGTGAATACCTCCAGTTTGTTGATACTTTTGTCTACTTCTCTCATAAGCTAGTCTGTGTGCCACCACCCACATGGACGAATACGCTTCACAGGAACGGTGTGGAAGCGCTGGGCACCTTCTTGATTGAACGGCAAACTGAAGGCTCGGAACGTGTGTTTAATCATACAACAGAAGAGTCTGGGGAGATGAACTTCCCCATGGCGAAGAAGTTGGCCTTCATTGCAACACACTTCGGCTTTGATGGCTGGCTCATAAACATCGAGAAGCCGTTCCCAAGCGACGTATGGAATTCAGAGGTCCTTGAAGCTTTTCTACGTCAGCTGAGAGACGAACTAGGAGTCACCAAACGACTCATATGGTAACAATCTCACATCCACTACCCGCCATGACTGACACATGACTCTATCCCAGGTATGATGCGCTCACCACTTCCAACAAAATATCTTACCAGAACGCGCTGACCAGCTCCAACCTCAAATATGCTGACGCATGCGAAAACCTACTCACCAACTACTGCTGGACGGATGTTGATGTTTCTGAATCAATAAAGCTCGGGACGTATACCAACTATCTGGGTGATGGAAAGAAGATTTACTTTGGCGTTGATGTCTGGGCCCAAAACAAGTCTAGCTTTACTCATCCACGCGTCACCTATCCTGAATATGGAGGCGGTGGCACAAACACTGGAGTGGCATTAGCCAAGACCGCAGAATACGGTCTTTCAGTTGGCATCTTCGCGCCCGCATGGTCCTTCGAGCATTTTCCAGGCCATGAGCGGGATGTCGAACGCACCGTCTGGGAAGGCACGTCACTTCCGGAGAGCATTGAGTGCACCTGCGGCGACTGCACATCGCGTCACCCACCAAACAAAGACTCTCCAATTCTACATACAGCCAAAGAGCGCGTGGCAGGCTCAGAACACTTCTTCTACACCGACTTCACCCGCGCATTCTCAACACATGATGACGACACAAAACACCTATTCAACAACAGCGACGCGCACTCACAACTAGGTTCGCAATCCGTCCTTCCGCGTCCAGCCAGCATCTTGCCCAAAAACGAATGCGTCACACTCTCCCATCACATAGAACACTCTCACAACCGCAACATCCTAGTTATCTCCTTCATTCAAGAACATCCAAACGAAGACTGCGACGTAGAAGCCTTCCTTCCCCTTTACAAACTCGACATGCCAGCGGATGGGTCTCTGCAACTCGCGATGGTGCTAGACAGCTACGAGGATCCTAGACCGCCGGAAATGGAGGACATGACGTTTTTTGTGTACTTCAAATCGGGTAGAACGATGCATTATCACACGTTGCATCTATCGCGAGAGCCGATCGTGTTGCTAGATGATATACCTAGAGCGAGGATAGAAGAGCTGGGTGTGCGGGTTAAAGGCCCTTTGAGGGGGACTTTACGTGGGCCTGTGAGGTTAATTGGTTTCAAGGAGATTTGTATCTCGTCTACATTGAAGCTACCTCCAAGCTCCTCTTTCAGCATCAAGGATGTACGGGTTGAAAAGCGCGGTGAAGGCGTGAGTGAACACGTCAGACTGTGCTGGAACTACGAGGATGCAGCGAAGTCCGAATCCAAAACGGCAGGTATGCCATGGAGCGACATCACCGGCCCGTTCGCGCACTTTACAATTCGAAGTAAAGGGCTGCTTCTGGCGAAGGCGTATGCATTGGAGCACATTCTCAACGAGAAGTTCGTTGAAGGTTCTGCTGGACAAAAGATCGAGGTTGAGGTCACAGGCATTGGCTTCGATGGGCGTAAACTCGCGGAGACGCAAGTCGCGTTGCAGCTGTAACATGGTTGAATCCACTTTCTTCCACGGTACTGCGATGACGCAGAGCAGACGAACCACTCACGACTTCCTAAATCCACATCGCATCTACCCAAATTCGTGAACCTGGGTTAGAAGCTCTGTATCAGCGTGGCGGTGCAGGTAGCGCACTATAGGTATATAAACCTCCGTTCGCTATCTTCCCCATCAAGTCCGACTTATCCACCATGCAAATCCCACAGCAAGACTCACCACCCCCTTCCAATTCGAGAATGGAAGCCCCTCAAGAACGCCCCAGTCCGTTGACGATGAAAATAAACGCCCTTAAGTCCGAGTGCGAATTTTACCTCAACAGCTTCCCAGGTAGAGACAACCTGGCCCCAAACACAGGGATCAACGGTTGCATAACAGAATTTCTCGACGGAAAGTATGACGACAATAACGAGGCCCTGGGGATAATTGCCAAAATGGTTTCTTACCGCAACACCTTGACGAGGACAGCAACAGAACTGTTGACCCTGGCGGAGATACCCAAGCCGAACGGGTTAGACTGCGCGGAGTTCGACTTTGAAACGTTCCAAGAATCGCAGGAGTACAAGAATAAGAGGGGCAAATACGAACATGCCTTTAGGCAGGTTGCTCGATTCGATAGGATTTTTTTCCTCCTCCTGATGACGAGGAGGGGAGGCCGTTTGTTAAGCCGGTTAAGTATGTCGCTGCGGCGCTGACGCTGGATGATAATATAGACTCGGGTGAGGAGATTGCGGATGCGGTGCAACGGATTACATCGAGTATGTACATGAGCCTCTTCATTCTGCAATGGCGCTAACGATAATATGTACATAGGCTACCTGAAGTCTCTTCTTCATAAAGATGAAAAGGAAGCCAACAACTCTACAACCCAAAGCGAGGCGCCCGAAAGCCTCACAGCACCAAAGTACGCGCACTCTCAACCCGAGTAAACCGCCGGCCCAGGGCTAACATACTTGAAGCTAGAATCATAAATCGCCTTGGTAAAGACAGGATCACTAGTCTTGTAACCCCCCGGAAAGCTAACACCACTCGGCGTCGCACTGCCACCCCCAGTAACCTTGACCTGGAAGCAACTAACATACGGCTGCGGGTTATTCGCACCAGCATGCAGCGCAATCGCCTCGGCGCGGACCAAGTAGTCCCCGGAAGCAATGTTCTTGGGCACGGTAAAGGCGCGCTTTCCGCAGTTCGCATTAAGGATCTCGGTGCCCCAGGACGCTGTTGTACCCGTGTATCCGTCTTCGGCGACTTTGAAGAAGGAACCGCTGGTGGCGGTTTTGGCGTCGGCGACTTTGGCCATGTAGACGAAGACGGGGCCGTAGTGGTTGCCGCCGATGGCGGGTTGGGAGCAGGAGCGTGCGTTGGGTTGGGCGTGCATTTCGACGGTTAGGGAACTGCCGGCTGTGGGGGTTTTGTTAGTATATCATATGTAACACATCCTCATATCCCATTACATGTGCCATGCTGAATGGGCTGAGTATAATGGAAATGGATTGGCAAGGCTTACCGGCGACTTCGCAAACCCCAGATGTGGACGCTGGGCCGCGTCCGCAGAACATGTCGGGAGAGGTCAGACTGGTGATGGGACTGTTGTCTTTGACAGTTCGCACACATGTGCCCGCCTTATCTTCGCTGCCGACCCAAAGTTCTTGCCAGGTCGAGTGGGCGGAGACGGTCGCCGCCGCAGCGAGGAAAACGGTGGCGTACTTCATGTTGGATGTCGATGGAAGAAGGTGCGAAAAGAGCGAAAGGTATGATGATTCGTATCGAGTCTTTGTTTCGACCACTGGCACTATTCCCAGTATTTATTCACCACTTTCGATTCTCTCTGTCATGCATGCACCGTAGTACACTTCACCACAGCAATCTAACAGCGACGTTTAACATCCACCCGGGCCGCTGTACCTACTCCTCCCTCGTCATCTCCGCACCTATTCGTAGCCTCCACCCACCTATCTTCTTCCATTTTCGCCCCGAGCACTTAGATAGATTAACATCGCTGGCATCAAGCTTTCCTTGGCACCTGTCGGGTAGCGCGTGCCCCGTCAGGCCGTCAGCACTCAATTTGCACGACACACGCTCATTCGCCGGGATGGGGGAAAGCGGAGGCGGCGAGTGTAGATGGAGGAGATTTTGAACTTGCATGCGGGCCATGTCGCCCCAGGTTTCAGCGTTTTAACCTGATTGGGCACGGCATTGGTGGTTTGGTACCGATGTCACATGGCGCAATGGGTGTGGGCTTTTGGGTTTCGGACTGTAATGGCGATGCTTGGCTATATGGAGGTTGTATATTAGATGCGTCATGGTGATCACTGGGGCGGCTGCGTTGGGGCGGTGCGAGGCCGCCGTGTAAGCATTGGCATCTAACATGTTCCAAGGTGTGGTGGCTTTGGGCTCTGGCATAAAGCTGTCGATTATTTGTGCCTGAGCTGTCAGGTGCGTCTCGAAAGGTCGTTGTGATGATCCTCTTATGTTCCTGATCGAGAATGCCGATCTTTCGGCAATTTGGGCCTGGAGCCGCCCGCCGGGCTAGTCGGTATTTAATGCGAAACGGTGTAGAAACGCTAGAACATCCATCATTGGTTTGAGCGTGTCAATACCCACAGCTATTTTCTCTCTTTTCGCCTTGAGTTTGTCTAGAGAAATGAGTAACGAAGGCCACTGGCGGAGAAAGAGTGTGGACGGGCATGGGCCTGAACGCCATTGACTCCTCCCTGCAAGTTCCTCTCGATTCCGATCTGCGATAGATGGAGTATTGTTTAATCTTGGTCTGAGCGTATGATAGTGTAGTGCATGCGAGGCGGTCCCAACCCGGATTCCTTCACGCCTCTTCCGTAGTGGCATAATCGAGATTGCTTCAGATTGGTAATGAAGGAAGCGTTTGGCATCCCACCCCTATCGGAATTGACGCCAGTGGTATCCTCATCACGCACAGCGCAGAGTTTACCAGGCTTTCCTCGACGCCTTTCCCGTGTGTAGTCGTAGATGCCGATCCGTTGGTTGTTCTCGAAGGAAGGAAGACGTCTGGTGTGCTATCGCCGCTCAGAGTCTAAGCACCTTCCACCTTGACGCTCTTCTCCTTCTTCCCGAAGTAGTTCGCCAGAGTATTCTTCTGCGTCGGCTTCTCCTCCTTCTTTCCATCCGCCTTCTTCTTCGCTTCCCCTACACCCATCAACTTCTTAAACTCTTGCCATTCGGCCTTCCCCACAATCCCCCCACTGGCCTCTTTGTGACCCCTCGCAAAGCTCTCTCCAAGCCGTTTTCTCAGCTCCTCGTCCCCTGATGCAATGCTCTCCAACTTCTTGATGATGTCGACCTTCTCCTCTCCTTCGCGCGCTCTCGCGCATTTTGCAACGCGGCACGAGAAGTTGACTTTGTCGGGTAGGTAGCCTTCGTTCGCGCACATGACGATTTCTAGTTTGCTGGACTTGAGGGTGCCAGACCAGCGTGTTGCGATGACGGGATGTATTTGCGCGGCGCTTGATATAGTCAGAACGGCGATTGTAGCGTCGGCGGAGAACTTCGGGGCTGTGTGAGTGCAGCGTTCGGTCTCCCGTCTAACCTCCATGCTTGCATCTTTCAGCTTGTCGGCTTTTGAGATGTCTCCGGGACTGCTCGCGGAAATGACGGCGTCCCAGGCATCTTGCACATTGTATGCTGCTGATCTACGTGGTGCATTGGCTAAAGCCACGGCATCGTTGATGGACTTCTTAGGATGTTGCTTGAAAGTTGCGACCATGTCCGGAAAGGGGGGTTCCCACTTTATGCTGCTTCCGAGATCACCGTGGGTTCCTAGTGCTGCTAACCATGATATCTTGTCGTGAAGGTCAGGGTGTAGAGGAAGACAGATGGTGTATGTCAGTAGTGCACTGGTTGCCACAGGTGGGCAGTCGTGTGCAGTCACATAATCGCTTCCTTCTGGGAACCCGCCCTCATCTGCAAAGTGGTGGTCTACCACGAGACATGTGTGAGGTGAATCGATGACAGGCGGTGTTTTTCGGCTGCCTTGGTCTAGGATGAAGATATAAGAGGGCGACATGGCTGTCAGAGCCTGCTTTGTGCTTTCATCATGTACATTGGAGCCTTTTGGTGGAAAGTAAACGGATATTAGATCACCTGGGAGACCTAGAGCGGTAAGAGTATGATGAAGTATGGCACCAGAGGAAAGTCCGTCTGCATCCTTGTCGGGTAAAATGACTGTTGGTTTTTGCGCTTCAGCACTGTGGCAAATTAGCACATAACATCTCATCCGTCGAGTGCGTCTTAATGTACCATTCTCTGATGATCTCTTGCGCGCGTTCAATTTGCTCCTTCCTCGCCGGCCAGACATTCTCTCCCGACTCGTCCTGTCTTGATGGAGTGAGATGATACGCGGGAATCTCAGTCTTCGCCTTCGTCGTCGACTTTGTCTTCTTTGGTTTCGGTGGCGATATATCTTTCTCAGCTTTCCGTTTTGCTGGACTCGACATGATGGTGGATGCGTGGAGTTGCCGGGGTTGGATGAAATTGGCGAGTAGTGGCGATAATCGTGGTGGATACAGACTTAGTGAAGAGAAGTTCGATAATTGCGCCAATCGACAGACGGGAAATCTCATTATACAGTTGCGACAAGGTAGTTGCAGAGCGTAACGAGTGGATGCAAGGGTGAAAGGTAGGAGAGTATCGATGACGTCGTTGACACGCTAGTCTCTTTTTCGCCCAACCTCCCCATCATACTCCAGCACCGCGTCAAGCAAAACCTGTGCTCCCAAAGCGCAATGCTCAGGACTCGTATACTCTTCCGGATTGTGACTTATCCCCCCTTTGCTCGGCACGAATATCATACTTGTCGGACACACCCTGCTCGTCCACGCACTATCATGTCCTGCTCTACTCTTCATCTGCATAACCTGACCTTGACCCACTAACCCCACCGCCGCCGTCCTCACAGCCTCGATACAATCCGGATGGAACTTCGATTCGGGTAATCCCCATGTACGCTCCACGGAATACTTGGTCCCGTTGTCTTCTTCCTTGATGACTTGATCGAATGCGCGTAAGATGGACTCGGAAAGCTGATCGACGAGATCATCAGTGTCGCATCTAACATCCACCACGAATCCTACGCCAGCGGGTATAGTAGCTTGCGAACTTGTATCACTGCTGATGACACCCACGGTAGCTACACCCAGGCCAGTCTGCACGGCGGTGTCTCTTACGGCGGTGATGAGCCGTGCAGCTGTTACTAGAGCGTCTGCTCTTCCTTCCATGGGCGTTGTGCCTGAATGGCCTTCTCGACCTGTGACGCGGATGGCGAACCATTTCATTCCTTGTACACTCGTAACAACACCGACTTGCTTTCCCTCACGCTCAAGGATTGGGCCTTGCTCAATGTGTAGTTCGAAGTGCGCGGACAGAGTGTTCTCGCGGTAATCGCACGGCGTTGAACCAAGGTATCCTGTTTCCTGTAAAGCAGTTGCCATGGATATCTTGTCGGTATCGTGGAGAGCATGGCATGCGGATAGATCTGTGCTACTGTGCGTACTCCAGACACCGGATGCCATCATTGCGCCGGGGAACCGCGCGCCTTCTTCGTTGGTCCAGTTTATCAGGGCGATGGGGTGGTGGGTTTGGATGTTGTTTTCGTGCAGGGTACGGAGGACTTCTAGGGCTGATTGAACGCCTAGGATGCCGTCGTATCTATCTTTTCATCAGGCTCTGATGACTGTGATGATTGCTTGGGTAATGGTGCGCCTACCTCCCGCCTGCTGGTTGCGTGTCCATGTGACTACCCATGCCAATTGGTGCTTTGTCTGTAGCGGTACCTGGGCGTATGGCGAATATGTTTCCCATTTGATCGATTTTGATGTCGCATCCTAGACTCTTGCATTCGCTGACTAGCCAGTCTCGAGCCGCTTTGTCGGAGGGGGTTAAGGTTAGGCGGCACATGCCTGTTGACGGCGCTGGGAGAGCGCCGTATGAAGTGCATGTTTCTTGTAATGTGCTGTTCAGCCTTTCGCCGTTGATCTTGAGAGCTTTGGAAGGCATGGTGATACAGGTGTACGTTGGCAAGTCGAAGACTGCCCAGGTGATCCAGAGAGCTACCTAGGTACGCATGGTAGTTGGAAGCGTCACAACTGCGGTAGCTACATCCGACGCGTCGGCTTGCGAGAAACTCGTCTCCTTCATCTATGACCAATGTCTATGACTGTGCAGGACATATGCATCATTCTCGAGCGCGTTTATACGCGAATAGGCGTTGTGGTTGATAAGAACGACGACGGGAGGAAGGTGGGGCAGCGCGAAAGAGGGGTCAAGATACGCACCTCACAAACCTGGACTAGCCCTCTTTTCACTACTACGATAACCGCTGAGATGTATCCTCTCGTGATCGTGTATGACCGGGAAGTATATTTCGTGTCATTGTTCTGCTCGGAAAAAGGTTGAACGAAGCTGCAATGGAGTACGATCTAATCATCATCAATGGAGTGGTAGTTTCCGAAAATGAAGTTCAAGAGTGGGATATCGCTATCAAAGACGAGAAGATCGCAAAGGTAGTTTCAAGAGGAGGTTTGAATGATGCACAAGCGACGAGAACGATAGACGCTGAAGGCGGCTATGTGATGCCAGGAGGTGTGGACGCTCATGTTCATCTCCAAGAACCTCCACTATTCGGCAACGGCTCAACAGCAGATAACTATGAGACCGGCAGTCGATCGGCGGTATGCGGTGGTACCACTACCATGGTGACCTTTGCGCCTCAAAAGAAGACCGAGGATACTCTTCTTGACACTCTGGCGGCCACTCATGAGCGAGCGAAGGACAACTGCTACATCGACTACTCATTCCACATCATCGTCGGCAACCCTTCAGAAAGGGCGCTCTCAGAGTTCAAGACCCTGCGAGAAGAAGGCATATCCTCCCTCAAGATCTACATGACCTACGAGGCCCTTCAACTGCACGATGGCCAGATTCTAGACATCCTCCTCGAGGCCCGGAAACAAGGCATAACGACCATGATCCACGCCGAGAACGGACAGGTAATCGACTGGATGACCGCGCAACTCGAAAAGAAGAAGCTGTTCGCGCCGAAATACCACGGCTCATCCCACCCGCCCATGGCAGAGACCGAAGCCACCTACCGTGCAATCAGCTTATCAGAGTTCATGGACACTCCCATCCTCATCGTCCACGTATCCACGCCCGCAGCAGCCGCACATATCAAAGCAGCGCAAGACCGCGGACTACCCATCTACGCCGAAACATGCCCGCAATACCTCTTCCTCACGAAGCTAGATCTCGACCAACCCGGTTTCGAAGGCGCGAAATGCGTATGCTCACCCCCACCTCGTGAAAGCGAAGCAGACTGCGACGTCATCTGGGAGGGCCTTGCAAACGGCACATTCACCATCCTTTCTTCCGACCACTGTCCCTTCCGCTATGACGATCCTGAGATGGGTAAGAAGTCTAGCATCAGCGCAGAATACCCTCTAGGCCACTTCAAATATATCCCCAACGGCTGCCCTGGTATCGAAACACGCCTTTCCCTCACCCTCAGCGCAAACCGCCTCAAGCTCACCAAATTCGTGGAGGTCACATCTGCGAATCCCGCGAAGCTATACGGTCTCTATCCGAAAAAAGGCGCGCTGATAGAGGGCGAGTCGGATGCTGATATCAATATCTGGTATCCAGATGGCAAGATGGAGGAGTTTGAGTTGACGAATAGTATGCTGCATCATGATGTTGACTACACGCCTTTTGAAGGGAGGAAGCTGAAGCAATGGCCGAGGTGGACGTTGTTGAGGGGGAAGATGGTTTGGGATAGGGACAATGGCGGGTTGTTGGGGGAGAAAGGGTATGGAAGGTTTACGAAGAGGGATACGAGTAGTCTGGCGAAGCCGATGAAGGAGGGGGAATGGGTGTTGCCGTTGTAGGTGTGGGTTGTGGTGATGCGCGTGCGCCGTGGCATTGGACTTGTAGATTGATCATCGACGCGTTGAACGTGTTTGATTGTTACGTGACACGAGATGTCGCATGCAACGCGTGGATTCTCCTCGGGGTCTCCATAACCTTGGAATGTATTCGGTGTTTTAGCTTTGAGCGAACGGCTGGGCTTGCAGATGATGTTTGCCGCGGCTTGATCCTTATCTTATCAGCCCCCTGTGCACCTCGCGTCCCACCCCATTCTTGCTTCCACCTTCCTTCGCGACAGCACGTACATTGTGCATATCTCCATCATGTCACATCAAGCATGCATGACTAACGGCACGCGGTCCTCTTATCAGAGGCGCGGCTCCTGCTTGCCGTTTCCGAGGCAGCTATCAGGCCCATGAGGCTTGTAGCTTGCAACACTGGCATATGAGCTTGAGCGAGCTTATCACGCGCTCAAGCTGAATCTCATCACTTTTTAGGCAATATGTCGACCTCGGGTTTGCCGGTAGAGAATGTAGATGTACTTGTGGTAGGTGGAGGGCCAGTAGGTACACAATCCCATACTCCATAAAGTGCGCTATCATACTGACACCCATGCCCAGGCCTCGTAACCGCCTACCAACTCGCGCGCAACCTCCCTCGCTCTACGCATCGCATCAAGATCATAGAACAATATCCCAAGTCATCCCAAGACAATTATGGACGCGCCATTACCCTCTTCCCGAGAACGACTGAGATGCTCGATCAGCTTTCTCTGGCTGATTCCCTTGCTCAGCAGTGTTTCGCTTGTCGCGAGACCGTGAACTACGATAAGCATGGCAATGAGGTCGAAGGAAGAGGTTGGGCGTTCATGGAGAACATGAAAGATACCAAGTGGGACTTCGCGTTGGTGCTACGTCAGAAGTACCAGGAAGAGGTGTTTAGGAAAGCACTGGCTAAGGAGGGGGTACAACTCGATGCGCCGTATACCCTGGTGGACATCGAGATTATAGACGGGGTTGAGATGGGTGGATATCGCATACTGGCTACGATTGAACATGGCGAGACCAAGGTGAAGAGCGTAGTCAGATGTCGATATCTGGTCGGCGCAGACGGTGGGCGGTCTTTCGTACGACGAGCCATGAAGATCCCCTTCGACGGTTCCTCCAGCGAAGACAAGTGGGTACGCGTCGATGGTGTTATTGAGACCGACCTCCCCAAACCGCGAACGTACTGCGCCATCGAATCGCCGACACACGGAAACGTCCTCTGGGCCGCGCTCGACAGAGGTGCAACACGTATAGGCTTTGCGTTCACAGCGGAGCGCCAGAAAGCATACAAGGTGTTCGACGAAGAAGCCGCCGTCAAAGAAGCCATCGCATCAGTCAAGCCGTTCAACCTCAAGTTCAAGCAGGTGGATTGGTGGACCATCTACGTTGTCGGGCAGCGTATCGCGCGCTCATTCTTCGTGAATGAACGCATCTTCCTTGCCGGCGACGCATGTCACACACATAGTTCTGGTGCAGCACAAGGCATGAATACCGGCATGCATGATGCCGTCAACCTCGGTTGGAAGCTTTCCCTCGTGCTCCAAGGTCTCGCCAAACCCGACCTGCTACACTCGTACGAAGCAGAGCGACTCCCCAATGTACAGCGATTGATCAACTACGACAAAGACATCTCGCGCCTCATGACGATGCAGTTACCCGAGGGTTGGACCGGCGATCCAAACGCAGATCCAAATGAGATACTAGGCGTAGTCATGGCCGAAGCAGCGACGTTCAGTAGCGGACTGGGTATATACTACGAGCCAGATTCCTACCTCAACCTCGCGCAGAGCTCGGGTGTGTCGTCTGTACAGCCTGGCCAGCGCGCACCGGATGTTACGCTACAGAAACCTGCGACTTTCGAGGCTACGCGATTACAGAGTGAGACACCGAATACTGCGACATTTTATATTGCGCTATTTGCTGGGGAAGTGTCGCGCACGAAACTTGCTTTAGCGTCGTTCACCGCTGCGATGTCTGCAGTGCCTTGGCTTAATGATGAGGATGTTCCGGTATCGTGTCTTTCCATTATCGCAGGACCGGGTGGACCGTCAGCGTATGAGACACTGGGTGGTATGCCATTCGGTCGTGTGTTTTACGATAGGGATTGTAGTGCGCATATGCGCTATGGTGTTGCGACTGAGAAGGGGGCCATCGTGGTGCTGAGACCTGATGGGTGGGTTGGCACGGTTGTTGAGCTGGATGGGGATGCGGGGCCGAAGCTGGAGAGGTACTTTGGACGGTTTCTGCTTGCTGCAGCGGAAGGCAACAAGGCTGAGGCGAAACTGTAAAGACGTGACGGGATCACCAAGCTCTGCCGGTGGACTCATGCGCGTCGTGTCGCTCGTTTAACAAGCTCAGCTGAGTGCCTTCCATAACAGGGTTCTCTCACTTGTCATGCTTCGGTGGATAGCCAGTTGCGCGGGCGAATGCACAGGGCTGAGATGGTCCCCCGCTTTGCGATGTACACAATTATGCGATTGGGATGGGGTTCTCGATTAGTAGGCGACAAGGCTGGCCCCCATTCATCGCAAGCCATCTCGCAGTGGCTGCTTATCTGCACGAGCTTCTTCAACTCGCTCACAGCCAATCTTTTAGCGCCTGAGGCATTTTCTTGATAGCAGTGTATGGTTTTGTTACACCGCGGGATGGAGTTGTTGTCATGCAGATCCTGGGCCTTGCATACATGTGGTACTCTTGGCAGCTGAGCTGGAGTCATATATTCTCTCATGTGGTCCAGCCCCGTATCGTCCATTTTTTCCATGGTCTTAGTTGCCCAAGACACCGACAAAGAGATGCGACGATGTCGACAACAAACTCTTCAACATCGCCCGATCGTGAAGAGCTTGAGGCTCGCAGAAGCGTATTTATCTACGACGGTAACGTGAAACGCTTTGTCTTAAAGTCCTCTGAGAGTGTCACCTTCAGGAACTTGACCAAGATTCTCGATCTCTTTTCCACATCCACGTCTGCCACCCAGACCAGCGAAGCAATGCCATCAATTCAAACACAAGCCTCTGCCTTTTCCAACAGCGTTACATTTCTTGAGCTACCTTTCTTGGAAAAAATATCGGGAGGCTTTTGTAAAGG